CCTTGACCAAAGTCATTATTGCTGAGGGGTATTATATGTTTATTTAATGCAGCAGCAGATTCATCTCTGAGTTAATCACTGCCTCTGGCATCGTGACTGCATTTTCCTGTGTGGATCAGCTGGTCAGTGCACCAGCTTAATGGGAAAGGCATTTTTCTCGAGGCTAACATTATATGAATGTTAAAGGGCCAATACTCACAGCACAAAAAGCCTTGTAGCCTCTAGTCTTTGCTCAGACTTGCCTTTCCCACCATAATACCCCTTCTCTTTGGCTCTGTCTTGGAAACTCTGCTTCTGTCTTGAATGCCCTTTTGTTGTGGTCTGACAAAGTGGACTGTGGTTTTTCTCAGCAGATGTAGCACACTGTGGGTGTCTCTTTTGCCCTTCCCCATCATCGCAGAAAGCTCTGAATTTGGCCACCGTTGACATCCTAAAATTTTGGTCCAGCTTCCCAACTACTGGCACAGGTCTTCACATCACAACACCTGTCTACCCAACTCTGTATTTCATCCCTAATCTTTCTTCGCTTTTCAGAAAGGCCAGCCTACATACCTGAGTGTCTACAGCACATTAAATATGTGCTGTAAAACGATTGCAAAAAGCCCTCTCCTCTTTCAAAGCAAATGCAATCCATGCCTTCTCTATTCCCTTGTTAGCCTTCAGGCCTTTTCTCTTGTCAGTGTCTAAATCAGTGTATTCAGGGGCAGCTTTGCCTCAAAGGGCAATAAATGCCACTTGTGTGGTGGCTTTTTAGATTGTCTTCAGTTGAATAGTGCAAACAGTTAGACCAAATGTACATGCTTACAACACAGATGGCTGGTCACACCAAATCTATGGAGAGTTGCTCCATAGAGTAGGCTTAGGGCATCTTCTCCTCAAGTAAACTTTTAAAACAAGTGACATGAAATTCTGTTATTGAGTGTGATGAATTCAAGAGAAAGCACAAAAGTGCTTGTTTGGGTAAAAGGAGTTTCCATCCCTCATTAGCTGGAGGCAGAAACAAGTGTCTCAGCAGATGAGGATTGGCATCACATATAGAAGGGAAAGGCCTTGAGGGAAATAGCAAATAGCCTGTGTCTAATGCAGTCACTAAGGGCAGAGCAGAGAGTGGCCACCTGGCTAAATGTGACAAAATCAAAGCCGAGGAAAACCTCTTCATGGCCTTATCTTGCATGGACATTAGCAAGCAGAGAATGAAATAGGCTCTTGTACAGTGGAAGGGGAGATAATAGAAAAAGCAGTGTTGTAATGCTGCTTTTTCTGCTAAAAATGGCTTTTCTAAACATAACCTATATTAGTCTTTCAACGCTGACACATTGTGGGGTCTTCTCTTTATGAAAAAAAAAGCCTTCTAGCAGAATGTTATAGCTCATTTCCAGCTTTAGTGCCTGTCATCTAAAGGGTAAAGCATCTTACATAAATAGAGATTTTATTTCCCATCATTATAGCAACCATAGTGAGGCTGGATCAGATCAGTCAGGAAGGTAGAAACCCCATTATGTAGAAACCCATGCTGTGTATCATAAGGAAGAGGGAGTCTCTCACCAGGAAAGACTGCTTTCCAAATCTGTCGCTGAGTTGCCTATCAAAGAGGGTTCAAGGAGAGAACAACACTGTCAACAGTGAAATTGCTTCCCTTTTTGAAAAATATAGCCCAGTTTAAACTTACATAGCTCAGGTAATGGTAGCAAGAAGCCTCAGCATCAAGAAAGTACCAAGACAGGAATAATCTCTCAAATTGCAGGACATCTGCAGTAGCATGTCTCCAGCTGAGCTGGACTCCTCAGGTTCTCTGTGGGGTTGGTAGAGAAAGATGTATTTTACAATTCAACTGCTCTGCTTTAGGTGTCTATCTGTGGATGAGAGAGATCACACTCTGGGCTCTGGTGGTTATTTTGACAGTATCTAAACCAGCTAGAACGGGCGGTTGGTCCCAAATAGTGCATCCAAATCTGTTCCAATGCAGCAGAGAAATTCCCATGTTGCAGAAGATCCCCGGACTGCAATTCATTATTACCATGTCCTCAAAGCAATACATAAAAATATCTTTTCTCTGGGCAAAGCAAAAAGTGTCTGAGGTGGAAACAACTGGTCACATAGCCAAATATTTGCCAGCACAGAGTCAATAACTGTTCTATTCTTGCTACCACTCACCTCAGGTGATCCTGTTACCACCACTTTGAAGAAGGAGCTGTAGAAACCAGTCGTTATCCATGTGTGTGCTTCATCTCTGGGCAGCTACAAGCCACAATTCTAATGGAGAAGGAGGTAGTCTATCAAAAATGCAGCACTTGACACTGCTTGTGGAAAAAAAAAAGTGTAGAAACTCGAGACTTGAGGTTCCTGCTGCCACAGAAGTGTGTTCTACAGTTTCCTCGCTGTGACATTAGTAGCCCTACAAATTGAATTTTATTCTCTTTTGTGCAGAACTCACATGCACTTTTTGTCAGCAGCCTTGCCTTGTCTGGTAACTTATTCTAGTTTCTCCTGATGTGCTCCAGCTTCCTACTCCTGTTGTGGTTTCAAAACACCCATCCAGGAAATATTCCCCAAAGTTCTATCTCCCCCGGAGTAAATCCATGTTTAAGGAGTGTGTGTGACAGATACATGAAGATTGGTCCCTTAAACCTACCCCTTCACCCATGAACTGCTGAATTAGGGCCAAACCTTGCTGGGCACACTCACCCCAGTGCATCCCCACACTCACACTAACAAATCCCCACTGGCTGCAGATACCCAAAGTGGGCTTTAGGCAAAAGAGATGATGTGTGCTCACCTGGCACAGCCCATATGCAAACAAAATGCATAGGGAAGCCTTAGGGATGAAGGTGCCACATTGCAAGCCCTTGTCAGCTCAGCTCTGTGTCACTTTCCCTCCCACGGTCTGCTCTGCCTCCACCTTCCACCATCCCACCCCGCAGCAAGTTTCTGCTTATGCCATCTGGCTCACAGGAGGGAGCTGATGTGCACATAAATTGATCAGCAGAAGCGCATGAGGATCCCCAGTGTGACATACTGGCAGGTGCTAGTGGAGGGTTGAATTAATTTTGAGTGATCGTCGGGGACGAGTCTGTCTCTCCAACATGTGACACCGAGAAAATGCGTTCTGCGCTTCCTGCAGTTACATAGCAACTGTTTTCAGTGGGAGATAAATGTGAGCTTGTTGCTGGAGTCGATCAATAATGCTCTAAATTCAGTGCGATACACACACATCACCGAGGAGGCAACCCCGAACACAGGAGCTCGTTACATTTGCTGTAAGCCCAATGGGTGTCCTTGCCTCGTTAAGAGCCAGGAGTTACCCAGGTGGGCTCGATGGAGGCAACAGGACTGTTGCCCTGTTCATCTCATCATCAACTCATCATCTCAAAGATGCTCAGGCAGCAGCAATGCAACCAATGTCTTCCTGGAACACATTTTCTGGAGGAGAAAAAGCTATTGCTAGGGAGACAAGGCTGGTGTACAAGTCCAGCTGTGGCTATGCCTCTTATGCTGGTGCAGGGGCCAATGCTGGTGTATCTGTTTGGGCAGCTGGTTTCCACCTTGGAGTTTTGTATTAGCCTTGAGAGTCAGAGGTAGATTTCCCGTGGATTTTTTTTTTCTTTTTTAAATTGACCATTCTCACTGACTGCAAAATGTCCCATTTCTGTGCTGCAGTGAAATCCTCACACAGCAGGTTATTGTGTTTAATTATTCATTTTCTGAGGAAAAAAACAATCCTTCCCCTTTCAAATCTATTCCCTTCCATTGCAGTCAGATCTCTCCATGCTCATTAGTGTTCACACTGCTTCTCCTCTTAATCCTTTTCTTTATTTAAAAGATTTATATCACCAGTCTTTTTTCAAAATTGAGCATTCACAGTTCCTTGTTGACTCAGACTTCTTCAATCCCTGTCTCCACATCTTTTCATTTTTACCATATCTACCAGGCTATAAGGTGATCAGAAACTAGACTTTGCTTTCAAAAGCAAATTCATAGAGGTCTGAAGGGGAAATTTTTTATCCCATGGGAAATCTACCTATTTAAGTGTCTTCATTGTTTCAGGTTCAGGTAATACTAGCAGGCAGTGCCACTAGGAGTCAAAGGGACTTGGAAATTTGCCTCTGGGACGGTGCAGTGAGAGAAGTCTTATCCTCTCATGCTGACGAAAGGTTCACCTTGTCACCTACACTCTGCTGCTGTGTAGGAGACACATTGAATTTGCGCACAGAACAATTTGTGCACAGATAGAATTTGTGCACAGGGTGTTGGATACAGCCTGCAATTTCCTTTTCCCTCTTGGGGTTGGTATCTGTGGGGTATCTGAAGACACATCTATATCAGGAAGTGTGTCACGTTTCCCTAGATGGGAACGGATGACTAGATTGCTCGGCAGGTCATAGACCACGATACTTCAGTAGTGAAAGCAGGTTGTTGCTTGTTTTCCATTCTCCATTGCTTCTTTTCTCCTCTCTGGTGCCCAAGGGCTCTTGTGATGGCAGGACCACCTCGCTGAATTGATTGCAATTCAAAGTAGCAGATTTTTGGAGGATTCTTCTCAGCTTCAAAGCTCGGCCGTTGCATTGGCTCAGCAAAGCAACCAGTAACTGCACATTATGAGAGGGCCTCCTGGCATCAGCCCTGACACTGAGGTAGCTTTCCATGGACGTGCATCCAAAATCTATAGCAAGCAGCACCACGCTGGCCAGAATCATAGCTCAGTGTATCAGCTTGTCACCACTCAGCAGGGTTTCCTTGCTTGAATGCATTGCTCAACCAACACAGTCAATTGGCATCCTGACCTGAGCTCAACACTCTGTTTGAGATGCAGGGGTGAGCACAAGTCAGGCAAGCCTGATCCTTTCTTCTCCTGGAAAGCTAGACTGACCTTTTGGCTTTCTATGGGAGAGCTCACTCCATAAAATCATACGAGTCCTTCGAAGAACAATCCCAAAGTTACATGGAGAGCAAGGTGTGTAGTCATGTAGTGTGTTCACCACTGTTCATTTCTTCTTTTCCAGGTCGGCTGCAAAGTCATGATGGTTTTCTTTCAGTACTGCATCATGGCCAACTTCTTCTGGCTGCTTGTGGAAGGCTTGTATCTTCACACGCTGTTGGTCATCTCCTTCTTTTCAGAGAGGAAGTACTTCTGGTGGTACATTTTGATCGGCTGGGGTATGCATCTTATCCAACTTGAATTCCAGGAGGTGATCCTGGCAGGCATTTTCAGCAGCAATTTAAGGGGTATGGTGGTGAGGATGGGGCTTTATTGACAATCACCAAGAGACTGTTAAGTCTTCAAACTCTGACTCTAAGCCACAGCTGCTGGATTAGATTCTGCAAAGTTACACTCATGTTCTTCCACCCAGCTGGAATCATGCATGGTCTTTAAATGTTAAGGGTGGATCCCAAAGCAAAGCCAACCTCCCAAATTGAGCTCTTCCAACAAACACTATAATCTCTTGCCCACTTCCTTCATTCAGTCTAGATATCCACGGAGCTCTCATTGCCTGTGTGCTAATATTGATAACCTTCTGCATACTACATTCATGATTTCCCCATCTTCGGTGTGAATCAACTCTTGCACACACACAAGACAACATAAGGAAGATGAAATTAAATTGCATGAAGTTTCAGCCTGGAGCTGAAATGCTAACGTATGTAAATTAATCCTACTAGACCAGCTTTTCTTTTTTCTCCCAAGAGACAGAACAGAGATCTCTTTTCCCCCTTAAATTTTTTTAGCTTAAGGTTTATATATAAACAAGAAAAATAGCTCTCCATTCCACATTTTTTTATAGCTGAAACAAGGAAATAATTAGAGCGGGGAATAATCTTGAAAAGTGAAAAAAGAAAAGCATTTGTGTCATGTACAGGGGTATGCCTGGACTCAGGATTTGATCAACTAGCCATAAAATAACTTCCATCAAAAGTGACAGGAGTTACGCTTGGATTCACACTGCGGAAGAGGGATCGTTCTCTGTGCTATATGAGATGAAGTTAGCAGGCTTTCTTTCAGATGCACTTAATCAGGTCAAGACTGTCTTTAAACCCACCTTACTCAAAGGCACTTGTTCTCTCAGCACAGTAGAGCTGGAAGATTTTAAAGAAATCTTTGTAGAGCTAATGGTTTTAAATGAAAGGAAATATCTTGCACTTACATGTATTTGGACAATTCTTACATGGACGGTAGACCCTTGAGAATTTCTGAGGTTGGTTGGGTAAGGAGGGACAATTCAAATAAAGGATAGGTGCTCGAAAGACCTTTTGGCATTTCATTTCTCCATCCTTTTCAAAAGCTGCAGTGATAGATCTAGAATGCACTATGGAAGGACTGAAGATTTGAACACTCTTATTGTAGTTCTTATTGTTTGTATTGCCTTTGCTCTTAGGAGTCACAATAGACAGCACAAAATACTGTGAGTAACAAAGAACAAATAGAAGTTTCCTTCCCGGAGTGTTTCCTTTGTAAATAGAAACAAAAACAACAGACAGAGCTAGAAGGGGGACAAGAAGTGTGTAGCATGACTGCTCGAGTCAAGCAGCGGAGCGTGGAATGAGAGGCAAAATTAGATTAATTTGACCAGCTACAGACTTCTGGTCACTTCAGGCTCCCTTTATAGCTAGTGGAAATTAATACAGTCAAAGTGGTCCAAGAGAACAGTTTTTGTCCTAAAACAAACATCTAATGTAGCTCAGAACGATGTCTTGAAAGGATATGCTTCTCTCCACCAATACTAAAGAGAATTTGGGATGACTGGGTTATATACAGATGTTGTACAATGCAGGTGTCTCAAGTGAGGTGGGATGACACCTAATCCTTTTGTTTCATCACCAGTAGGCATTTCAATAAAAGGATAAATCAAGTAGGTAACCATTAACAGGAAACTCATCTTACATGATCATTGAGAGAGTAAGGCCATGTTTGCCACATGAGCACTGAAGACCTGACATATTTGCACACCGTTAGACCAAGTTACCATCTCAATCAGAGATGATGGAGAGTGGGGGAGAGCAGCACTGAAACAGACAGGGATAACAATTTGTGACAGTAAAAATATCTCTTCTCTTGCAGGTGCCCCTTCTGTGTTCATCACTGCTTGGACTGTTGTCAGAATTTACTTTTTTGATGTTGGGTAAGCCTATGGACTCCCTTCACATTCCTTTATAACTGTTTTATCTTCAGAGAAGGCCAAAGAAAGTTCTACAGCCCTTATAGCCCTGTTATCTGCTCAGCTTCCTTCCTGACCTAGGAAGGGCACTCAGAGTAGACCCGAGGCATTTTCCTACCCTAAAGCCTAGGAAATGCTCCTAGTCTTCCCTGAAGACATGTTCTTTGTGCAGCCTTAGGAAAGTGGGATTAGTGATTGGGATTTGCAGGGAATTAGCGAAGATATCCTGGCTAAAATCACAAATAGACTATGGGTGTTGCTAACGATGATATTAGGGTTATGGAATATTAGGAGAATATGCCAAATAATCAACCAAAATCAATCTGCAAACAAAATTAACCATATTAGTGGATTTGGTTAAATGAATTTCACCAAAATTATCTTTACATTCATGGAAGAACACATTAGAAGTTAAAAAAAAAACCAAAAAGTGAAATCTGTTTCTAAATATCAGTGTTTTCCATAGATAATTCCTTTGATACTGAAATGAATGGGGAATGAGGCACAGGTTTACTAGAGAAGGGGGGATACTGTGAAGTCTTGCACTCATTTATTAATTATCACAATTAGCACACACAGCAGTGCACGCAGCAGGGAAATAGCCTGGCAAAGGTCCCCCTATCCACATCGCACCTGCATGGACCTTGGGAACTTCCTGCTGAACAGATTCCTGCTGACTTTCCCACTTCACAGAGCACAAGCAAATCAAACACCTGGATCTTGAGTCTCATTAGCACTGCTGTCACCTTGGTAGCAAGGATTTTACTTCACAGTACTCACTTGATCTGGCAGATACCAATCTTGATGCCACTGCAGCAACGCATTTCATTTCCTCTTGCTGCTCTGCTAATATCTTCATTGCAGCCTTATTTGCCCAGGAAAGTAAAAAACAGACCTCTCTGAGAAGAGTTGTTGTTCTCAGAAAGATAAATGGAGGCCACATGCTACCGTTACAGCTGGTGGCATTTCTGAGTCCTTTGTTTTTTGTTATATTTAGGGAGGTGTTTTATGCCTTGTAGTGAGCAATAAAACTGATTATTTTCAGACCCTTCTCTAGTTAAAGAGCTCCTATAAGTATGTCTACAATTACAGGGAAATCACTGGATGCCCCAGGTGGTCCTGTGGTCCTGCATAGTGAAGACATGAGTTGAGCAGCTGTTCCATGGTCTGAGTTGTGCTTTGCGTTCCACAGAAATGACCCTATTTCTGACAATGCAGCAGAAATGGAATAAACACTCATTAGCCCTTCCACAAAAACAAACAAAAAAAACTCACAAACAAAATACCTACAAATTCATTTTTCTTCTTCCCCAGATGTATCTTTGCATTTGTTCTTCACAGAATCACAGAATCAGAGTCACAGAATGGTTGAGTTTGGAAGGGACCTCTAGAGATCATCTAGTCCAATCCCCCTCTCCAGCAGGGACATCCAAAGCACAGGGCACAGGGTGGCCTCCAGGTGGGTTTGGAAGATCTCCAGAGAAGGAGACTCCACAACCTCCCTGGACAGCCTGTTCCAGGGCTCTGTCAACCTCACAGGGAAGAAGTTCTTCCTGACATGCAGATGGAACTTAATGTGTTTCAACTTACACCAATTGCCCCTTGTCCTATCACTGGCCACCACTAAGAAGAGTTTGGCCCTCCCTGCATTCACTCTTCAGGTATTGATATATATTGATCAGATCCCCTCTCAACCTTCTCTTCTCTAGGCTAAACAGACCCAGCCTGTCTTGCTTTTCCTCATAAGATAGATGCTCCAGTCCCTTAATCATCTATGTGGCTCTCCACTGGACCCTCTCTAGAAGCTCAATACTGATCTCTGGGGGACACCACTGGTCACAAACCTCCAACTAGACTCAGCCCCATTTAAAACGACCCTTAGAGCTCTGCCATCCATCCACTTCTCAATCCACCTCACTGTTCACCCATCCAGTCCATGCTTCCGTAGCTTTCTTATGAGAGTGTTATGGGAGACAGTGTCAAAAGCCTTGCTGAAGTCAAGGTAGACAACATCCCTGGTTCTCCCATCAGCCAGCCAGCCAGTCGTCCCGTCACAGAAGGCTATCATCAGGTTTGTCAAACATGACTTCACCTTTATGAATCGATGCTGACTGCTTCTGATCACCTCCTTCTCCTTCATATGCCTAGAGATGCTCTCTAGGATGAGCAGCTCCATCACCTTTCCAAGGACAGAGGTGAGGCTGACCGACCTGTAGTTGCCCAGTTTCTCCTTCTTGCCCTTTTTTAAGATTGCAATGACTTTGACCTTCTTCCAGTCTCAGGCACCTCCCCACTCTCCATGACCTCTCAAGGATAATGGAGAGTGGCTGAGCAACGTTCTTCATCTTTTTTAAACTAACAGCTCTCTTTGATGCTTCATATAAGAAGCAGATAAAATGCAGCTAACTAAATGGGGCAGATAGAGGAACCCAAGGATATGTGCAAGTACATAAGAGTTGATCTGGCAGTTCTCCCTCATACTTTCACTCAGTCAGTCAGTCTAGAGTAATTTGAAAGGTGTTTGTGAGAAAACACTTTAGAGATCTACTCATTATGTACTCACTGTGCATGCCCTTCCTTCCTGCATTTGCAGCATATGGTTAACTCCATTTACTTCCTTGCATTCCCTGTCTCCAAATGTGTCCCCATTTGTCCTTATTTCAGGGAGAGAAGCAGCTCAGATTTCACATTGTATTCTTGATATATGGTATTGCTAACATATTTCCTGAGGGCCACTGATTTCTTTTATGGCTTTGCTCTTTCTACATAAGACTAACCTTATTTACTCCTTTAATAAATAGCTTTTGTAATGAGATAGACATCCATATTTAACCACTCTGGCTACCAGAGTTTTAGTATATGCTAGTATGTATTCGCACACAGCTCCAAAAAGTCATATCAAAAATACAGATTTTCCTTGCATTTTCCTGAGGCTTTAAAGCTGTAGGTTTTTGTGTGTGTGTGAAATGCAGGCTGTGAATTTACAGGATATGTTAATATCTAATGTAGAGGCTTTTTTTTTTTTTTTTTTTTTTGCATACTAAAATTAGACATAGCTACATAGAGAAATTACAGGAAATTGATCCAGATCAAATAAAAGACTAATTATATAGGATTAGTTAAACTGCAGTATATCCTATTTAAAAATTCTAATTCCAAATTAAAGTGACCTTTATTCAGGCTGTCTGAATTCATTTTGAAAATGAAGTACCCTAGACATAATTAGGACCACTTTAACTCTAAAGAAAAGGGTAGCATACATCTGACTAAATATAAACATTGGTATCTGAGCAGTTCATTCTAGTCTCCAGTTACAGGAAGTGGAGATCTAGTCAGTGTACAGAGTGTAGTATTTCTCATCCTAAAGTCAAAGCCTAAAATCAACCATTATTTGCATTGTTAGAATTTAGTGTAAGATGAGGTGAATCTAGTGAAAACTGTTGAGAACAGGTTCCATTAATCTATTTCAAACATGAATGCAGATCAATTTTCATGAATGCTGTCCTAAAGATCAACGTTTAATCACTCAGTAGTTGTGAGGTCCATGGAGAAATCCATTTCAAATAATAGTTTTCATTTTATTCCCATTCTGTCATTCATATGTTGGCATTCAAATGTCTTTCCAAAATACCTAGATGACATTTGCAGCCTACCACAAACTGATTATTTCTCCCTGGAAGATGCTTTCCTCATTTTTGAGTAACCAGTACACTATCTCTCAAGGAATTAATGATTTGACTTCAACTGAAAATTTTTGGGCTGTGGCATATCCATGAAGTTCTATTGTACTCATTCTTAGGTTTTATGAACATTTCTTCTGTTTAATGTCACTCTAATTTGAACTACAAGGCTCACTTTTGGATCCATTTCCAAACACAGCCTGTTTTCCATTAGTCTGAAATTTCATCTTTTCTCCAATGATATCCGAGTGAGTCTGCGGCAGCTGAAGAAAAGCCCAGTTTACTCATTCCAAATTCCACATTAACCCTTCAAGTGCTCAGCCCCTCATGAGAACACTTTGACCACGTCTTCACTGTTTAGCTTCTCTTTGGCCATGGAAAATCAGAAATCCGTGTGGAGAAAGGTAGCTTTTGTAGATAATACACTCCAGAACAGGTAATTGTGACTCCAGTAAATTCAGGATTTAAACCAAAGCAATCACCTCCCATATAAAATAACAAATATATATAAGTAACAAACATAAGATAAATTCCTGACCTGAGCACAAAGTATTTTTTCTCACTATTTCTTCTGTGATTGAAAGATTGAGAAATATTTTGCTGGAATTTGTCGGCTATATAGCAACTCCTGTTGAAATTTCTAATAAACTTCTGTGAGACTTTCCAGAATTATGTTTACACTGGCAAATATCCTTTAAGTGGGATAAGTATTGTTCTGAGGTCACCTTTTTATATCAAAAAGTTACTAAAATAAATATCTAAAAGCATTAAAATAAATACTTGCAGGGAAGGAATGTTGGATAGTTCCTTTCAGTTACAGATTTAGGAAGTACATACAGGCTAGACTGCTTTGTTTCTCTTTGTGATGAGGGAAAAGAAAAAGACACTTTGGGATTTGGATTCATTTTCTCACCTACATCCTGACTTTAGGACTTTAGAATGAAATAAATCAAACCTTGGCCCTTATGAACTCATCTGAATAGGTAAATACCTCAGAGGAACCTAGGTAGATTTAATCAGATGGGATCCAGCTGTCTATTAGATAGGATCTGGCTTTCTGTCCTCTTCTTCAGAAAGGACTGTTTTCTTCTGATAATGCTAAATTTTCTGTGCTTAAAAAAAAATCTGTGATCATGGATAGTATGCTTTTGCTCAATATTTTAAGTCTTTTTTTTTTTTTTTTTTTTTTTTAGGTGCTGGGAGGAAATAATGGAATCTCCATTCTGGTGGATCATTAAAACTCCTATTTTGGTGTCTATTTTGGTAAAGTATCAGTGCATTCTACTGGCTGAAAAGCCCTCTTTAATACTAAGTGGGGAGGGAGATGGGGTTTGAGAAGTATTCTGTAAAAGCCACCTGCAAATACAGAAAACATCCATGGAAAATGTGTTAACATCCGATTAAATACGGAAGGTGTGTTTCAGTTTGAGGAAGCTCACCCTCTGAATAAACATCTTTATCTTTAAGCACTAATTATGGAAAGAGTTTGAGATACTGAGCAGGCGAGGTGGAACTAATTTCATTTAACTCTGGACTCTTCCATCTCACCTAGTCACCCTGTGCACTCTGGTGCCATAGCCACAGGTGCGTCTAGCTAGTGGAGATGTAGGAACATGATTACAATTCCAGGAAAGGGTCATCTTCTCTAATGAACCAATGGATGGATGTCTAAAATAGATCAGATGAACTGAGCCGTGAATGGTTTTGTTTCTCTGAGCTGACCATGTGGAACACTTGGGGTGACTTGTTTGGCTGTAGATGCCAACACTGCAAAGGAATAGGGGCTGAGTCCTACCTTGAATTGTATCTGGCTAAAAGGAAAGATTCATTTCCCCAGATATTTGCCTCTTGTGATAACATCCAGTACTGATTCCAACTATGTGTTTCAAAAGTAAATTCTTGAGAGACTTGGCTAATGGCAAGAGAAATCAACAGAAGAGTTCGGCTGACTTCCAAGATGATCAGTTCTGGCCATAAGAACCATGACGCTCCTGAGGAACTATAAATACTTCCACCCATGTTGAATATTATGCATTTCCTCTGCCAGGTATAGAGCCCAAGCATGAAGTCAGAATGAATCTGAGTTAAATTTAGGTTTGAGTTTTCTCAAATCAAAGGAAGTGTGTGTGGAAAGGAAGAAAAATGAAAACAATAGAAATAAAACTCTTTTAAACGGAAATCTTTTCTTAGACATATATTCTCCCTACTCCACATACATTTTGCTTTTTGCAAGAAGACCTTTCCTGTATCATTTCTCATACAAGCATTCACAAAGTGAAACATTTTGAATAATCACCTCTAACTTTATTCACCTTACTGATAAAATTTAAATGTCTAGATTACAGCTCTCGGACTACATATATCACTGTAAAGCACTGTAGATACCATTTTCCTGAGATAACCTTTTGATAAAGAAATACATCCTCCTAGGATCAACAAGTCTGTTTTTTCTTCTGCCTAATAAATCATTTCCAAACAGAATCTACTTGGCAATACCTGATTTTCCTTCTGCAGATATTATATAAATCTGTCACAAAGGGAGGACATGATAACAGCTATCAGATGCATAGCAGGTTTCCGCAAGGAGGAGCACAACATTTATCTCCATGTCCACTGGATAAAGCGTAGACTTCATCTGAAGCAAGACTTATATAGCTCAAACAATAGAGAAATGTTTCCAGCCTAAATATTTTTAAGCACGGTGAAGAGATCAAGAGCCCTTGATCCTATTCGAGGTTGAGAAATGAACTAGACAACTTCTCCAGGTGCCTGGCAGGCATATCTTCAATCATGCAGTACTAAGGCCTTACTAAACTTGTAATCCCACTCCATCTGACTCACCGCTGCCCTCCTTCTTTGTGTGTCCAATGTTTGCTCTTGACGGCTATGAGCTGATATGGTATTTAACACATAGCGGGAGCGTGGGAAGCAGCTCAGATCTTATCCTCAGCACTGTAGCCTGTGTGCTATCAACGCTGATTAAACCTGCTGATCCTGATAATTCTGCTCTGAACTGATAAATTTTTCCTTGCAGTTGAGTCAGATGCAAACTGTTTTTTTAAGTAAATAAATATGAACAGAAGCTAAAATAAATTATATGGGATAGATAAAAAGCACTAATTACATCACAATCAAGAAATACAATTAATTTGCAGTCACTCATAGCCTTTAAGCAAAGAACGAATGTCTAAATGAGAGATATGCCTCAGCCTAGTTCACTCACCTTTTGTTCAGATAAATGTGGGAACTGCTGGAGGAAAGAGGAAAGTTTACAATCTGTTTTTATGGGAACTGGTATTAGCTGGTTAGCAGAATCCCTTTCAATCTTTAAATGTCTAAAAATCAAAATAATTTCTGCATTCACTATGAAAAGATTTTTATTAAAAAAAAAATAAAGAGGTCAGGTGTCAACTAAGTTCACGGAAGACTCATCATTTTTCTGCTGCATATATTGCAGCAATATAGGTCTCCAGCTTGTCTGCAGAGGACACGGGCCCAGTAGTATTGAGTAGGGCTTGCTTGAGTAGATACTGCTTTGTGTTTTGGTTTGGTTTCTTTGGCTCATTGCCTCAGTCTTGACATGCTCAGCAGCAGGTCGCATGTCACCGTCTCCCGAGGGCTTTGACGTCCGTCGCTCTGCTCGCTCCCAAGGCTCTTTCCCCACCTTGTCGTCGGCACTTCCCCGCGCAGCAGGACGTCGTGCATAGCTGTGCCCTATGGGTTTGACATCATCATACTTGGGATGTATAACACAAAGTCCCAAGCAGGCTGATGTCAGGCCCAAGCTGGCTGCCATCCTGTGTCGGTTTACTATGTGCTCACAGAGTGGGGGTCTCTGCTCATGGCTTTTTAACAACGGCTTGCTCCATGGCAAAAATAATGCAGTGAAAGGAAGCCCCTCTAACAATCAGCTCTTTTCACTGGGGGAAAAATACTGTGGGAGAATAATTTTTGTTTTCTTTTCTCTCTTTCTGTCTCCTTTCTACCCATCCCAACAGGTGAACTTCATTCTCTTCATTTGCATTATCCGTATCCTAGTCCAGAAGTTGCATTCCCCAGACGTTGGGCACAACGAAACCAGCCAGTATCTGTAAGTCCTAGGCTTTTTCAACCATACTCTATTAATTTGGGAAGCCTGCTTGGTTGGGCTTTTAGTCGGACCTAGGAGTATTTCATCTGTCTGTATCTGACCAGTCAGAATCACGTATTTTTTAATTGATTAATGATGATAAGAAATCAGGAAATGGGACATCTGCTAAAATGACTGGGCATGTTTTATGTCAGTTTGAACAGGCAGGCAGGAAGGATTTCTTCTGAGGCTAGCAATGAAGAAGTGCAACAGTAATGATCATGCAAAGAGGCTTTTCATTTGTAGATTCGATATTTATTGGATTCTGAAGCCAGGGAAACTCTGATGGGAAGTAAAGAGCATCTGTCTATGGCAAATTTCCCTTATCCTAAAGATACGAGAAACTGAACTACATCAGATGAATCCATCCCGACAGGTATCCATTTCTCTTCACTGTTGAGAAGCAGCGCTGCCTCAGAAGCTTTGCTTAGTCCAAAATCGTTATTCTAGGGATATAAGGGTGACCTTAATGAGGCTATTTATAATGAACAACATGCAGAGATGAGCATCTGTCTCTGTGGCAATACTAGTTTCAGTTGCAGAAATCTTAGTGTGCAAAAATTCTGCCTACCTCCATAGGTTTATTCTGCTTTCCATGCAAATAAAATAAAACTTCAGGCTTCAGCTCATTTTTACCTCTCGTCATTGTCTTGCCTCAGTATTCCAAATAGTTTGGATGTTTATCGAAAGCATTCTTAGGAAAGTACCGAAATGGAAGTAGAATACTGTGCCTGCCTGCTTACTGCTGACAAAATATTTTTATTATTTGGAGGGAGTTGTACATTTAGGTACCTTGAAGGGCATGGGCTCAGTTCATGCTTTTGCAAAATGGAAAAAAATCATGTCAGTTTGCTACTTAAATACTGACCAACCTCATCGCTGAGTTTCTCTTTCTCTAGTGATAGCAAGTTCGCTCCTAGACATCCTCAAATTTATGATGAGAAATTCCAGTATTTGACCTTAACTTCTCCCTGCAGCAGCCAAAACCAATTATTCTTTTTCCGTCACCACTGACAGGCCAACATTATTGGTTCCTGTGCTTTCTACCACATCACTTTATGCATTTGCAGTCGGGCATTGTATCTTCCTAGCCCAAGGACTGTGACAGCTTTGGCCTGGTACCTAGATTAAATCAGCATATTGAAATATGTTCTCATACTAAACAGTGCTATCAGAAGAATGTATCCCAGTCTTGAGCGATTGGCTCAATTAATGCATCTCCCTAGAAGTGCTGCTGACACAGGACGGATTATGCTCTAATTACCTATGAATTCATGGTGATTTTGGGGCTTAAGGCTTCTTTTTGCTACGTTTACCAAGGAAAGTGGAAGCTGCCAGGAAATCTGTTTTTGCCTTGTAAACAAACCTAGCACAGCAGGGCAGTGACATGGGCTTCTCTGCTCTGGCTTGCTAAGCAAGAGCCATTTCTAAAGTACAAGTGGCCTTGACAGCATCTTTAGTTTCTCATCATCCTCCTCCCTCTGGAAAGCATAGGCCTGGGCGCCTATAGTTGGGCAAATCAATATTCCAGTCCTCCCATGCTGTTTAATCTTGGAGCCTTTGCTCTATCCATTTTCTGCAGAGTCTGAGATGAAACATACATTATCACTTGTAGTTCAAGTGCGTTGTTAGGTTTGATAGATGAGATACCTGAGATAAGATTCCACTCAGACTATGACACACAAATTTAGGGCTCTAAATGTGAGCTGAGCATCTAAACTGCCTTATAGTCACCTTAGATCTAGGGCTTGATTGAGGTGCCTGCACGTAGGCATCCAAAGCCTTAGGACATTTGGGATACTTGCCTGGAGTTGACATGAGGGAGACAGGGCTTATGGGAACCTTGTAGCCTTATGTGATATCAACTATCCTTCATCCAAGCTTCCCCAGGGCATCTTTAAGGCTCCACTGGATGCACGTTCTGCATATCTAGATCTCACACTCACCTGTACAATTAACGTTAAATGCCTCAACCTGAAATCTGGAGCCAAAGGTGGATGGTCCTAAATTTTTAATGTCTTTGTTTGGGTACAGAATTTTTAGGGATCAGATTCCTATTACATAGAACACCCTTAGTGCCTGAAATACTGCTGAAGCCAATTCAGGGCTTTAGCCTGGATAACCAGAGATATTGCCAAAACTTGTTGCTAATAATCTGTGTGGATTCCTTCTGCTAAACCTGTGATAAATATATATTAATCTAACAACATCAAGGATCTCTCATTTACATTTCTCCACATTTTTCTCTTCTGTTTCTTTCTTCCTTACATTGTGTAACCTTTCTTACTTTTTTTTTACATAAAAAAATACATTGACATATTGACACTATCGTTCAATTTCAAGCAATTTCAGACGTGCTGCAGGCTGGAAGTTCAGATTTGCTGCTGACTCTGCTACAGATGTTGAGATGGGCTTTTATGTATTGGAAATTGTGAACACATGTCTCCCAAAACACTTTCCGGGAAATGACAGAGATGTGCACAAGAATGGGACAGCAATACTTCAGGCAAATAGGAGGAGAAAACACCTTGTTTTCTATAATAGAAATCTTGAGCAAAATTCATCTCATTCTGTTCTGAACATGTCCATAGATCAATATTATCATCAGAGCTCTCTAGGTACTCTTCTTTTATGTGCTCAGGAGTATGGTTGCCTTAATGTTCCTCCTTACCCACTCCCAAAGAGAGCAGTAGATTTAGTGCAGGCTAATAGAGTTCTATTTTCCCTAAAGTACCTGTCACCGTAAATCTGGCAAAAAGGTTAGGTCTAAGACATGCACCTTGGGCTAGGAGTGGAATCTAACGGATTTTTTTCAGAATCTGTAGCCTCCAGCGGGCAGAATTAACCAGTTTTTGCCAACCTTCTACACACTTCTGCCTCTTACACAATCAGGCTTGAACTTGATGGAAAGAAAAGTCCAGCATGCTTGAGGAAGATACCTTTTGATATTGTTCGTCATTGTGAGATTTCAGGAACTCGGATAATAGAGACCATACCTTGAAGCAGCATGAGGTTTGAGAAGTAACTTAATACTCTGAGCGAGCTCAGCGTTGGGAGCAAGAGACTGATTTGATGGGTTGTGCAAATTGGAGGATGAGGTTCCTAATGTTTGGCTTGTACTGCTAGTTCATTGCTACAATTCAGCCAGGAAAGGAAAGTCTATAAGGAGGACTCGGGTTTTGCATGCACTCACTAAGAGAGACGTGAGAGATGCAGTGTGAAAGGCAAATTCTTGGGAAGCTTCTCAACTTCCAAAAGGTGTTGGTTTTGCATGGAATAGGTTACTACCAGCAGCTTTCCAGCTATGCTGTCATTCAGGTTTTCCTTGGGGAACCACAACCACAAACCAAAGCCTTAATGATAGACTCTCTTTGGGCCAAGCCTAGGTAAAGCTGGAAAAGTCTGTTGGAAGATACAGTGATGAGCACTGTCTGCATAGAATGGGATACCAGCCTTCCCAGCAGACTTAAGTAGATGGCAAATAAATGAAGGTGGTTTTGGAGGTCTGAAACTGAATGGACTTTGGAGGTGCGGGTTGTTCAGTTGGAAGAACAAATACTTCTGATGCCCAAGACTTTGGGAGAGGGAGACACATAAAGATGTGGGTAACCAAGCTCCCTTGGTTACCCACAGAAACCCTTGAGACATCCTTAAGTATTTTATTTCCTTTTATTTTTGTCACCTAGACTTTAATAATGATTAGATTTAATAAATTATTATCTCTTCCTAATTAGACCTCTGATTACCCTGCCTGGTGCTATTAAACACTAATATTGTTCATCCTCCTCCTTTGGAGACATTCATTATACAATAGCCTGTCATTATTCTGAGCTAAACATACGATTTCTCTCCCAGAAGCTGTAATTTTCAGAAATCCAAAGCAAACAAAGACAGTGCTAGATGATGATTTAGCTTGTAGAGATGAAAGAAGATCTCCAGTGGGAGGGGAAGAAGAGAGGAAGAGGGAAAGAAATGGCAATAAAGATGTCGCATTTTAAGTCATCACCACATCTGAAATAAGCAGTCATCCCCAGTCTGGAGGCTGGATGGAGGAGAGGTGATAAAGGGCTGATCACTATGCCTCCACTGAAGGCATACATATTTTTGAAAGGCTATTAACAAAGAAGGATCTAAAGCTGTGGATATCACCCAGCACAGTCCTTACTGTGAACTGGTGTAAATTGACTGGTCCAAACTGAGAATCTGGCTCCACATTCCATCACAGCACAGCCCAGACCTTTGGAGGGATCCTTGGCAGTTCTGTGAGGAGCTGATCTCAACTCTGTTCCCAACCATCCCCCACCCCCAAGCTCTCCCAGGTTGGGTAGCCTCTTGTCTTCACACTGAGCAGCTATTGAAAGGCCAGATGTTTCCAGGACCTCAATGATAGTGCTTGCATCTCCTAAAAGGAAACAAAGACACCTACTTTTATGGCTTATGTTTTTCTTTCCAACAGGAGACTGGCCAAGTCCACCTTGCTGCTGATCCCTCTCTTCGGTATTCACTACATCATGTTTGCTTTCTTCCCGGACAATTTCAAAGCAGAAGTTAAGCTTGTCTTTGAGCTTGTGGTTGGGTCGTTCCAGGTAAGTCTTCCTTTGTGCCATCAGATTGGGTCTGTTGGCACAGAGAAATGTAAGGGAATAAGTGAGTTGGGGATTTCCCGGACATGACCAATAGTGCTCCCCTTTGGGGAAAAAGAATCCAGTGTGGAGATTCTCCACATTTTAGGCATCTAAAAAGAAAATATACCTCTATGAGCTAGTTCCCGTAGGGCTTTTTATACCAGGAAAGGAAAACCAACATTTCAGTTCAGTTGATCTGTCATTTACCTTGCAAGATGAGATAAATCACCTTCGGGTAGAGTTCCAATTCTTCAGTCAGTTCCAATGCTGGGTAGTTGACCTTGGCCCTGGTGTTGCATGAAAAGAAGTACTTACTTATGCATTTCATACTCCGGCATCCATCCATTAGTCCAGCTCTAGGCATTTTGTGTTCTTACAGTTTGCAGACAGGATCTATGCAGACAGGACTGTGTACATGTATTGCATTGGCCGTACACATTGTTCAGTGGTGAATGAGTTAGTATCTGTGTTTACATCACTGTCACTTTGCATCTGACAACACTCCTTTGAAAGATTAGTGGACCTACTCAGAGCTGTTATTTCAAGCAGACCTCTCTGAATTGCTTCATGCTCACACATAGGAAGGGTAGGTCGAGTATCCCACCCAGTTGCCTTTCATGCATTATTCTGAATGACCAAGTATCCCACTTAGAGCTGAGCAGACTCTTACCCATGCATCTGCTGTAGTATACCTTAAGCAAATTTCCCCTGCTCTTTTTATAGGAAAATACAGTCAAGGGGCCTCTTAGGGGCATCTCAGCAGGTCCCTGGCCATGGATTGCAGTCAGGTCTTGGTTGTGGTATCAGGAGATGTAATCCATGAGTTGCTAAGAGCCTGTTCTTTCTTCCAGGGATTTGTGGTGGCTGTCCTGTACTGTTTCCTCAATGGGGAGGTAAGATCAACAAGGCTGTGGAGTTTGTAGTTTTCAACTAAGGGAGAGTGAATGTTCGTGGAGGGGGGATTGGGGAGTGTCCCATTCCTGATGTTACCACACCAGGGGGAAAGCTTCCAGGTGGAATAACTCATTCTAGAGAAACAGCTCAAGCATTTGCCTGACAGTTTCCCACACGTCCAATAAACAAGTAGGACTTGCTTGCACACTTTAGTATTGATACTGCTGAGTCCTTCTTTTATAGACAACATCAGCAGAATTCCCATAACCTTGCATAAACTCTGATCATAAGGGAGCATCTTCAGCAAGACAGGATAAAACCAATCATGAGCCCAACTATGCTGTGTTTCAATGAGTCCTCCACCTCAGCCTTTTAAAACCTAAAGATTTTTACCTTTAACATGAAGGTCCAGAATCAGGCTCCGCTGCTGAGCCGGAAGCTTGTTAGTGCAATGATACATTTTTCTACCATGTACAGCAGAAATTCAGTAGAGACTCATTAAACCCATATCACAGAGGCACTGTGTAGGTGTGAGCAGCTAACAGCATTGAACCGCTGTCAGCTGGAGCTCACTCAGCTCAATAAACTGAGCATGGACCAGAAAGGAGCAGCTGTGATCTGAGTTTTTTCCAGCTTCCTGGGGAGAGGAAGAGTGTCCAGAATCACAATTTGCTTTCTTAGGGCTCTGGTGATGCTTTCAGTCATGCTGAGGCCATGTGTACATCACACAGTGGAAGAGAGAGTGTATAATATCCCACTTCCAGCAGATACCCAAACAGGCCTTGACACGACTCGTTAGCCACCGACCAGTGCCATGTGAACTTGCTTCTAGCTCATGGGCACGGTCTTGCCTTTCCCACATTTCCAGTCCTGAAATTATCATTACTGGGGTTGTACTCTTCCGGTGCTTGCTGAACCCAAAGACCTTCTAGCATAGCGGCTGAATGTAATTCATGCTATTAATTAAAATTTTGCACTGGGAGCCTATGTGAGAGGACAGGAGCTGTGACCAAATGTATTAGGAGCTGATTATGGACAGTGTAAACCCTCTGATGGATGTGACCCCCTGAGCAGGAACAAGGAGCCTCTATCAAAAAAGCACATCTGTATACCAATGATTTTACGAACAATGTATAGTTAAATCATTCATCTTTGGATGAATATAGGGCAGTGAAAAAAAAAGCGTAAAAGAATCTGGCTTTGAAGTTACTGAAGTTTAGTAGTCTAGCACTAAATCTGATTCATTGTAGCAGATAAGCTACAAGGAACCTAATACAATAGGTAAAATAAGCACTATGCTTTCTTTCTGCAGAAGATATATAGACTTCTGCTTTTTTATTTTACTGGATGGAGGGTCACGTCTCTTTGAAGTGGCCAAAAGTTATTTCCAGATAATGTCTGTTTAATGTACTTTGTGAAATAATTCCTTAAAAATTAAGGTGAATCCCATTCAGCACCCTCTTCCTCTCCAGGAGAGCACCCTTAATTCCTCAAGGAATTGCTTTCAGTCACTCAGCCAAAGCCAGGCAGCAGCTTAGTAAGTGGGTCTCCCATTGCTACTTATATGATCTCATTAGAGCAACAGAAAACATTGCCCTCTGCTAACTTGATTGTCTTTCCTTGTCTTAGGTCCAAGCTGAGCTCAAGAGAAAGTGGCGGAGGTGGCATCTGGAACGGTTCCTGGGCTCAGATATGAAGTATCACCACCCTTCCTTGGGCAGCAACGGCACCAACTTCAGCACCCAGATCTCCATGCTGACCAAGTGCTCACCAAAGACACGCCGGTGCTCTGGCTTCCAGGCTGAATTCTCTCTAGTGTGATGGGGAGAGACTCTCTGAGCACAGAGCATCTGAGAGAGAAACAGAGATAGGGAGAAGGATCCCCAGGAATCAGTGCTATGATGACAAACCCTTGAGAAATGAAATGCTCGACATGAGCCAACAGAAGACACAAAACTGGAAAAGCCACTGGCATCCAGAACAAGATCAGACAAGCCAAGAGGCAGAGAAATACTTTCCTTCTCCCTCTTTTCAGACCTTTCACTCTAAGTTGATGCCCACAGGGGGATGATAGCTATGAGTAAAGGTCCTAGTCACTTGAGGTGAGCCTGGGAGGTCAGGTTGTGTCATAAATAATGAAGTAAGGAGGGCAAAGGGAGCGTGAGTCCTTAGTGGCTTTACCAGAACCAGCGCCCCTGAAACAAATTGCACTTTTCTTTAACGAATGAGCCAGTCAGAGAGAGGGGGAAGAAGTGAAAAAAAAAAAAAAAAAAAAAAAAAAAAAGCCAAATGTATGAATGTGCCAAAAAATCAGTTGATAAGGCACCGAAGATAGAGCTGGGACAGCAGGGAGCAAGAACAGAAAAACACAAGCAGCACATGAGAGGGAGAGGGAGAGGCCAGCACATGGACCCCATCCCTGCGTTTTGCATTTGTGAAGAAGAAGCTATAGCACCAGGAAGGCTTCTCAGAGGATATCCCAGCACTGGAGTGACTTCTGCTAATTGCCTGCCATCCATCCCATCCTCGTTAGCAAAAGATTTCCAAGCGCCTTAGGGGTTCCTCTTCAAAAGCAGCTTGCTGAGAAGGAACAGTGTGAATGCCCTTCTCTGCATTATGTTGATAACATTGATGTTTGCTTGTTTGGTTTCGATGACCAGGAAAAAAAACAATTTGCATGTATAAAATGCAGGTACAGATGGCCAAAAGCAGAGCATGGCTGTGTTTTTCATTTTAAGTTCACCATAGATTGTGGTGCATTACCACACCCAAGATCATTAGGGATCAGGGGTAAACAATTGGTAGGTAATTTGTTTGCACATGGTTAATATACACTGTGAGGAAAATGAGATACAGAACCCTGTAATCCTTAATTGAATCAGACCACCATAAGGACCCACTCTTCAGATGAAAAAATTAGCTTCACAGCAGAAAGCAAAATTGCTTTCATGAAAACAAGGTTATCTCAGCACATAACTGGCCCTCCAGGAGTCAGGAAGGAGTGAAGGAGCTATTAAATTGATTTCTGCTTCAGCTTTTTCAGGGAGCTTTCATCCTATGATGAAAGCACTGTTAGATCTCTAAAATGTGCATGTGCATCTTGCCTCTTTTCTAAAGGCCTATTTGTTTCCATATTGGGGCAATCCCTATCTGAAGAACTCACGCAGATGCAGAGAATCTTGCTTTTGCTTTTCTTTTCTTGGTGGAAGGGTGAAGGAGTGGGGTGAATTGGAGTTCTGCTCACAAGAGCCAGGCTGGCATCTGGGGAGATCAAGGTCACCTGTATGCAGCACTGCATGGACAACTCCTGCTAAGAGGTCCTGTGTTTGGTGCACTGCCTACAGTCCCAAATCCAGGCAGAAGATAGGCAACACTAGGAAGCTCATGATTTTTCTCACGTGTGTGTCCTGCCCAACTGACTTGGAGTTACACCAGTATTTCACCAAAGAGCGTGAAATCACTGCCCAGCCCGGGTATACACTTAACACTGGGGCTGCTGATATCCTACATATAGGAGTACTATAACATATAGGATCATGATGGAAAGCTTAGATCATCTAAGTAATGTGTGGGAGGCTGCATAGAAGGGAAGACAGACTCCTCTTTCAGGTTCAGAGGTTTCAACTTATCCACCAGGTACTTCCACCACTGGGATGACTTCTTTCATAATTAAGGGGAGCTCTCTGAAGGAAAATATTTTTAACTTGATGGGGTTGGATTTTTTTGTTTGAGTCTTTTTCTTCCTTTTTTTTTTTTTTTCCTGGTTGGTTGATTATGTTTTCTCTGCCTGTGTTTCTCTGCCAACAAATGACACAGAGCCCAGGAGAGCTGCAAATCTGGGCATCCAGTTTCTTCCTCAGTTCTGGAGACTGCTGTACCAAGCCGTCCCTGGAGTAATACTTCACTACTGTCTGTCTGAGTTGCACATTGCCAAAGTATTTCTCCATGTACTTAAACTGAGGACAGGACACAGAGGGCTGAATTCAGAGAAGGACATGAGATAGACCAACACAACTGCAGTGAAGGGTAGACATGCACTCAGTAGTTTTCAGTGGCCTGGCTCAGATGCTGTCCTAGGGTAGCTGTGGCTACCCGGACTACGAGGACAGGTCATGCAGGTAGTCATGCTCAGCAACGTGCTCCTGGAGTTGTATTACTGACTAGTCCTCAGGCTGGCTATGTGCAAACCATCTGTGCTATAGCTCTGTTACACTGCAACCATATTATCAGCAGTTAGAATCCAACACCGGCAAGCCATGGGATCTTCAAAATATGTTTTTAGCAGCTCTCTCATTTCCACAATCTAGAGAAATCAAGAGGATGCTTAAAATTCCCCATGGAACAAGGTCCACATCTAAATCCCAGTGGAATTCCCAGAGGCCAGGACTCCTCTCTCAGTTTTCAGTGCAGGTGCTGCTCTGGTGGACACTTTCTAGGTAATGTGGAGAAGTCCCACTAATCCCCCTAGCTCTTTTCACATGCATGGTTGAAAGCAAGGATTTGACCCAACTGTGCAATTTCCCAAGTGAACAGATATCTGCTAGGAAGATCAAAAGAGGTAAGGGAAAGGGTTATCAGCTTCCAAATTGTCTCGCCTAGTATAACAAGCTTCCTTTTAGGTTCAGCATTGGAAAGGTGTGAGTCATCAGACTGCAAAGTTATTCAATTTCTTCATCTCTTATGGTACCTATTTATAATCAGCTAATGTGGTGGGCTGCAGGAAAGCCCCTGCCTTTAGCACATGCCTTCACTGGGGAACCTGAGATGTGAACTCAAATCCCAGGTCCCAGACAAGGCAAGGAGGAATTTGAGCACAGAGCTGTTAGGCTCTAACAACTTAGGAAATTAGATTGGATGGATTAGATGGATTAGGAAAAGCATCGTCAGCCATCTCCACTTAAAAGTATGAGGAAAACCTTCCCATTTTAGGCAGCCTTATTGCAAAAGAAGGTTCATGGCTGTGAAACTCAAGTAATATGAGCTGCCTTGTGCATTTTAACTTTGTCATTCATCAACATCCCTTTCTTTCTTTCTTTGTCATTCATCAACATCCCTAGCTTTATAACTCCATTTGCAGGAGGACCTGCTGCTTTGTTTGTACAGCTTCTCTTTCTTTTCAGACTTGTGCTAACCTTTGTCAGCACCAGACACATGCCAAGGGCAGCATGAATAAGTTTGTCTTTAGGAGAGGTGACAGGAAAAGAATAGGTTTATTTGCCCATGCTACAGAGTCTTATGAAACCCGTGATGTGCACTGCAAGGCTATTCTGCGTGGGACCCTGAAAGTAGGATGTGACCTAAACTGAGGGTCACCCTTCAAAAGTGCCAGCTAAATTAATGTGCCAGAAATGTAGCCCTCAGGCATCCTACTTGCAGTTACTTCATCACCAAATATCCAGCTGTGTTGCCATTATACTGTCAGGGGTGTTCCAGAGGTGAGATGAATGCATTGCATGTACCTGCTGTGACAGGCATGGCAATATTTGTGATGCAGGCGGTGGAAAGCTGCCAGCCCAGCTGCGTTGGCCTTATATTTCAGGAGAACAGAGGAGTCAGGGATGAAATCAGGACTTTTCACTCCAGGATTGTGAGCAATCAAGTAACCAGAAGGTATTTCACTGCCTTCTCTGGGATTTGGATCAGGCGCTTATTTGAGTAACGCAGGAATTTGGTCTGATAATTTGGCCTTCTTATGAGTGTGTTTTTTATCCAGTCCTTCAAAGAAAATGAAGGATTCAGAGACCTCACTGCAGCTCGAAACTGCCACCTGAACTGCAGTGTCCCAAACCAAAGCAGAATACATGATCCACGTATCATCCACTACTACTAGTTCCCTTAAAGCATAAATGTGTCCACTTCCAATGCCAGTGTAAGACAGGGATGAATCCAGTGAATGCAGTCAAGTTACTTTGGTGCAAAATAAGAAGCACAGTTGGATGTGTTAAACTTTAGATATATTTGGGGACCATGAATTTGAACTCCAAAAGTCTTTAAAGAGATCAGGGCAATTTTTGATGTCATTTACACCAGTCACTTCACTACAGTGTCTACTCGTTAATAGCAGCAGAAAACTGGATTTTAACTTTTGGTGAGAATTCCTTCATCTTTAGCCTGGAACAATTTGCTTATGCTGGGAAGAACTCTAATTCACTCCTATTGATTAAACCATTAAGTAATTACTATTAAGTAGGGGACAATCTATATCTAAAAGTTAAACAGTTTTCTCAGCAGGTTTCTCCTGTGTTTTCCCTGCAGGTATTTCTACTCATCTGTGACCTACATGGCTTTTGGGGCCCCTCATGGGTAGTAAGAAATGAGAATTTTCAGGGTTTTTAAAGGAGACAGAGAAATGGCAGATTGTGGCAGAATTTCAGATCATTAACCATATCTTTTCCACAAAGAGAACAATTCTTTATCAGTATTGTTAATGAAATTTTGGAAAGAACAAGAGAGACCCTCCCTCAAAAAAGAAAAGAGAGCGTGTATCTGATATGTCTTTTCCTTCCTTCCTTCCTTCCTTCCTTCCTTCCTTCCTTCCTTCCTTCCTTCCTTCCTTCCTTCCTTCCTTCCTTTTTTTCTCTTTTTTTTTTTTTTTGGTTCATGTAACAGTTACATTTTTTACAAGAAAATTATTATTGGACACATCTTTTTAATATTAATTAGTAAATTTACTTACATCTCCATATCCAATTATTATTCCAGTTCAGCTCAGAAGCAACAAGGCAGTGAGAAGGAGACAACGAACACCAAATCTTTGTTCCAATCTCAAGGAAATACTTTCAGAAAAAGATGTACCTGCTGACTAATAAAAGACAACCTATTGGCTGTTTTAAAAACCAAAACAAAATTGCAAATAAATCTCAGGGATGAGTTTTGCCTGGCTCCATTGTGGAGTTGAAATTACTTTGGTGGGATGAGGTTATCTCCAGTCTCTTCTACCACCACCACAGTGTGCCCTTGGCAGTTTCAATCTTCCACAGCCTCTGAGCAGAACCTGTGCAGGAGAAACCCAAAGCAGTGGTGGAGTGAGAAAGATGTGTTTAAAAAAAAAAAAAAAGGTTGCTATTTTTTTGGAAGATAGCAAAGCTTTCTCAGACTTGAAGGGATCTTGGTGAAGTTGGAAGTGCCAAAACTTGCTGATGTGCATCTCATTTTAATCAGTCTGCACAAGTCCATGTTACCCACTGCTTTGATTAATGTTCCATGGAAACCCATGGGGTAGCAAAAGCAATGAGCCTGAGAAGCAATATTTCTTCTCTGCCCGTTGACTCTAATTCTAACATAAAAGCCTGTGTGGAACAACCCCTCTGCACTGCATCCCAGGCTCCTCTTTCAGGTATCCCAAGGCAAAGGGTGCTTGTGCCTCCTTCCAGGGCTTCTCTCCCCACATTGTGAATGTGCCAAATTTACAAGGACTTATAATCCTAAACTCCTTGACTCCCAATGCAGCTTTGCACATCTCATACACCAGTGCACATGGTAGAAAGGGCTGTAGCACCACCTGACAGTGGAAGACACTCAAAGAACAGAAGGCCAAGGTCTTGGCCTCACGTATTAGTTGAGTTAAACCACTGTAACAGTGCGAAGAATTAATTCTCAGACTGGTACTTCAAGTCAGACTTTCCAATATTCAGAAGAGGATAGTTTCCAACCATTTTTCTCTCAGCCACTCAGCTTTTCACCCCATCTCCAAACCATACCTGCCTGAGGTATAGTTACAATGGCCAGTCTTCTTGTGACCCACAGAGATCTGTACGTCTATCAGCTATGTCTTTTAGCAATTAGTTAAAATGAGTTTCCTGGGCCAAAAAAACTATTTCTTCCACCTCCTATCATCTGAAAGATCTAACTCCTCATTTACTTGCACCCCATTTTCCTACATATCAAAGATTCCTACTTTTGAAAACCCAGTTATTTCTGGAATACTGTGAAATGACAAGGAAGAAGACAGACATGGAATGGGAAACTCCATGAACAGATCTCTCTGAGGAAAACAGTCCCCATTTGGGTTCTGAAGGCCAGGCCTTTAGGACATGTAAACTGGTGTCAGTGCTAGTGATTTGCACTTGCTGAGCTCTGACCCCAGTTTTGTGTATACTGTAAACCTGTACATATAGGAAAATGAAATAGCACATTAAAATAAAACACACATATTTTTTGATAATCTGCAGATGTTATATCAAGGTTGAACAGGACACTTTTGAATTCAAGAGTGTATTTTTCAGACCCTGTGTTTCAAACACAGATCAAGCTATTCTTGTTTAGCAGCTAGTGCCAACTGACTATTTTTTTCTCATTCAGACTGCAAGTACCTCTGCTCTACCCTCCTGTAAATAGGGTTTGACTACAAAGAGGAATGAAAACTGGCTGTGAACAATGAGTTGCTGTTAAGACACCTCTCCGTGGACTTTTAAGTACTTTGGTGCTTGTGATGTACTCTTCATGCCAGTGAGAACAGGCCTGCTTGCTTGGCACAGGTGAAATCTCAGCCTTCTTTCATGGGCTTTTGT